TGATGATGGTGATGACTATGATAGTGATGATAATGGTGGTTGTAATGATGGTGATGATGATGATGGTGATGATGATGGTGGTGGTGATGATGATGATGGTGGTGGTGGTGATGATGATGATAGTGATGATGGTGGTGGTGGTGATGATGATGATGATAGTGGTGATGATGATGGTGATGGTGGAGGTGGGTTGATCATGATGGTGATTATCTCAGTGATAATGATGACAATGATTATCACGGTGTTAATGATGATAGTGATCCATGGTGATGGTGATGATGTTGATGATGATAACAATTAAGAATAATACTTACCCTTTGTAGAGTGTTGATCAATAGTAGTATAAGGCTGTGATTTTCATGTAAAAATATTGACAAAGCAAGGTATCCTGGAAATTAAAGAAAAAACCCACATAACGATCAAGCTTGTTTGGGCTTCCTGTGGCAAAAAAACACAGGGTTACCAAATGAAGACCATCAATACTGATATATACCTATTCTTTTATCATGTAAGTTCCTTTGTTGAGCAAAATTTATAGCATGGATGTGTAGATCTGAGGCATCTATTCCAAGCATCTCACAATATATGAGACGAATAAGGTACTCGCGCATCTGTTTCTAAAATATAATCAACCAAAGAAATATAAATAGTCATATTCTGAGATGGCATCCATAGAATAATATTAGACATCAAAATTTACGAGAAACGGCTCAGAATCTGCAATGGGAAAGCATTGCATCATAGCTCAACAGCAATCCTAGTAAAGAAAGAAATAATACTCAAGGGAATGACACATGGTCTGAAATGGAAAAACAAAGCATTCCCAGTAATACAATTTGCTTACAGATGAGGATTGTTGGCTAAGTTTCTCTTTCAGAACAGCGAATTCTGCTTTAATGATCCTGTCTTCTTCCTATGATTAAATTTAAAGGAAAAGAAAAAAATGAATAAATAATGAATGAAAGAAATGAATGAATGAAACGAAAGAATAAAAATAACATTAAAACTTTGAAAATGAAATAAAGCTGCAACTCAGAATTTAACAACAACAATAACCTCAAAACATTAATTCAAATTTATTGATGAATATACAAGATGTTTTTAGCTCTGTTTGTACAGCATGTTAAAGCTTATAAAAATTCATTTAAATAATATAAGACATATATAAATACCTCATAATTTAAACAACGGTTAAAACCCTGAATTATATTTTTTGAATATAGGGCAATTAAGTTATTTCATAAATAGCTTTAACAGTAAATTAAAGGTTATTTTTCGAGTATCTTTTTTTTCTAGAGCTCTCACATTTTTTGACTTGGCTTCACCAATCCCTCGAACAAGTGCTTGAAATCCTTTGGAGCAATTGATTCCAGATCCATGGTATCCAGTTATAAACGTCGGTAGACTAACCCTTGACCTCTCCATGCTGTTACTTTTTCTTCTTACTTTACACTTTAGCCATAAACTGGCTTTAAATCTATAGTATTCAACTCCGCATCTTGTTGACGTTCGCCATCTTTGATTTGCTTTACAGGAAGTTTGTAATTGGGCTCCCTGTATGATTCCACAGGAATCCCAACAAACGGAAAATATAGATGTTTGGTTTTTGCGTTGTATTTTGATAATATAAAATAAAATGGATAAAAAAATCCCGATTTTTTATTTTTATTCTATAACTCTTTAAAAAAATATTCTAACTTACTTTTAAAATATAGTTTTATTTTTAAGAGAACAAAAAGTATATTTAGGGGGGAGAGGACGGTAGAATATTTAAACCAAGATGGCGGACGAACAAACACGAGAAGACTTCAAATAGTGAAAGAGGATTTTTCTCTTTTCTTAGCGATTCAAAGGTAAGGCCTTGTTAACTTTAGAAATCAAAAGCATTAGGGACCACTAAAGTATTAACTATGAATTTAGAAACAAGTTTTTTAGGTGCTAGACTACGGGKTTTTTTTTCACATTTGTTGGCCTCGAAAATTGCAAGGGATATCTTTATTAGTGATTCAAAGTGTTAAGATTGGTAAAAAGAAATATTTCCTAGCTATCCATAGTTTCGTACTCTTAATGCTGTGTTCAGCACTCGTTTTTTGTTCTTTAAGAGCTGAAAGATACTTCATTGTAATAAAAAACAGCTGTTTGTTTATAGAACTAAACCTTTCATTTTATGAAAACCTTAGAGCATGTACAACCTTTAGTGATCTCATGCAATAAGGGCACAGTTAAGTAAGGCCAGCCCTTAGGTTGATAGAATAAGATTAAACTATAAATAAATATATGGGAATTAATAGAGTGAAGGTATTGAACCCGTGATTAATACTAGTAAACGTGTAATAGTACAATAGACAAAAAAGAAAACAATGGAATTAGGGTCTGCTAATGTGTATTAGTCCAACATATATGCACAGGTTTAATGACTTCACTCTAGTAGTTCTACAGAGCGGCCTTTACTCCTTCCAATGAAATTCAATCTAATTGGAATTAAAAAATTGAATTTTGCGGAGGGAGGAAAAACTGAATCACACAGAGAAAAATGGGGTTATTGTCTGGGTATGACTTAGGTTAGAGAAAAGCCCTAGAAGAGCAGGAGAGAACCAACACACAACTCTACTTGAGTATGGCACCAGGTCCGAGAATATGAACTGGGGTCCCTCTGGTCAGACTGACAAGCACTCTCAACGCTATGTTACCCATGCTTACCATAAGAGGTTGTTTCAGTATAGGAATATAAATTGTTGTGCATGTCTCTGTACTGTGATGTAAACACACTGGGAGCTGTAGAGCAGCAGAGAACAAGCTTTGGAACATAAGGTGTAGCCAAGTGTTTCTCTTGCTACTTTGATTATATTGATATTGTTTTAACATAATTAAAAAAAACATTCAAATGTTTTTCATTGTCTTTTCACAGATTCTAATTCTCATTTGCCTTAACACCTGCAATTTTTAATGATGATGGTGGTTTTTGTCAAATATAAAAACGTTTTTAAAGCTTTAGCTGCTTTTACTCTTGCACTTTATATTCATCTATGGCTTACGAAGATTGACGATGAAGACTTAAATGTTATCCATGCTAAAGGAAAAGCGAAGGTTAACAAGAAGGAAAGCCTAACATTTGTAACATACAACTTGTGGTGTAACTATCTTGTAAAAAGTGGCTCAAACTATGTGGAACGGTTTGGCGGTTTTGCAAAAGGTGTCAAGAACTACGATATCGTCATGGTCCAAGAGGCATTTGTCTTGCGTGTTGGGCCAATTGAGTTCTCAAACTGTGCTGCTCACTTGGCCGATGCGATGAAATTACAAGGCTTTCAATACCRGACTAGTATTGCAGCTTCTGTTCCGTTAACGTTTGGTCAATCAAATGGAATAATGATATTTAGTAAGTTACCACTCACTGGAACAAAGTCAGTTATATTTGACAATGCAAATATTGTAGAACGAGTGAATAACAAAGGATTTGTTTACACTGAGCTCAAAGTAAATGGAAGACCAATGTTTATTTTTAACACCCACACTGACGCCCATGGTGAAAAGTACAGGACGGCACAAATGAAGCAATTGACAAGTAACATTAAAAGGTATCCTCCAACGGCATACGTTATTGCTGGGGGAGACTTCAATATCAATCCAAATAACCCCCCTCTAGATGGTAATGAAGAGGAGTACAAAAAGTTGGTTAAAATCATGAGCGATGTCGGTCTGAGACCTGTGTTCACAGAGCGCAACAAGACACATCTGAATGGAGGCTGTTACGATCATGTTTTTATCAGTTCTAACATGGTAGTTTTGCAGAAAAAGGTGATCAATTTACTGACAGACAAAGGAGAAATGGTGTCTGATCACTTCGGGCTGTTCATGGAAGTAAAGTTGAATTGATAAACAGTCCTTTTCAAACCACATGTCATTGCCTTTAGTATCATTCCTTTGTTTAACTGTTGCACATGAGAAGACACATGAATATGGATACAACTCAAACAAAGAATCTTATTCTTATGAGAATGACACATAGTCTGAAATGGGAAAACATTGCACCATAGCCGAAAAGCATTCCAAATAAAGAAAGAAATAATACTCAAGGGAATGACACATGGTCTGAAAATATAATTTGCTCTCAAGCTAAAGATATAAATTAAGAAAATTATGCATTTGATATTTATGGCAATATCTTGGGGTCAGGAGAGACTCCTGTGGCAAAACAAGTTATTTTTGCTATAGGAATCTCTGCTAGCAGGGAAGGGTTTAGTAAATTGCAATACTTTTGAAATTGAATAAAAATTAAAAGGCATCAATTTATATCAGTTTATTATTATTTTTAAATTTTGGAATGACAATCCTTCGCACACACACAGGTCATACTGTATGACCTTATGCCGCAATGTTGGACACATTTATCATTGCAAGCCATACTTTTGCCCTAAGACATGGCAGCCATGTCTTAGGGCAAAAGCATGGCTTGTAATGTGGGGATATAACATTAGGTTTCCAATTCTCAGGAGATTGGAATTCTTTTTTTTTTTTTTTTCAATCCTCCAAATTGAACTGCTTTGATGTCAAATGCAAGGGGTACACAAAAAGTAAATGAAAATGGAAAGATCACAAGTACTTTTTAAAATTTTCTAGAATATTTTAAAGATAATCCTCACAGGACCCGGTCGTACGAAGGTGGATAGCACTATCCGTCGGATAAATCCTTATCCAATGGATAAGATGATGCTGTTATCCAATAAATTTATCCACTGGATAAGATTTATTGGTTGGATAGCGCTATCCACCCTTCGTACAACTGGGCCCAGGTTTGTTGTCATTTGTCCTGAGTCAAGGGTCGCACTTGAAGCTTAATTTCAGGTACTTCTTAGCTCCTCGGCAAGGGTCTCCAAACACGTCATTAGAAGCACTTATTGTACATGAGGTTTTACCATTACAAATACTGCCAGCCTAGAGGAAATTGAATCATCAGTATTGATGATAAGGAGATCTCTATCTCCTCTAAAAATAGGACACTTGAGAAAAAAATGCTCTGGACTGATCAGAGTTGGGGCACAGTATATCGCAGATAGATCCCTGAAACGACCTCTGGGTTGATACAAGTCAGGGCATGGCTAACTCACAGAT